AAAATAATTTTAGCACTTTTAAGAATAAATGAAAAATGCTTATAATTAATTTTGATTGCATTCTTTGCTATTAGTTAGAAGGAGTTTATGATTCTTTGTGAAAATTGATTATATGCTCAAATAAATTTTAATGTGATTGATTGAACATAGTTAATTTTTCGTAATATGAGTAGCTAATACCACTAGAACAAATTAATTTAGCATTTTGAGTGTTTAAAATCAAATTTTAGCATTTTTGGCGCAGAGGGAATCAATACCCCCTTGAAGGGGAACCGATTCCCCCTATAGGGGAATCGATACCCCCTGAGGGTTCTGGTTATATCACTCCCAGAACACCCTTTTATCTCAAACTCTCTCTTCTTCTTCCTCGCACCATTCTCTTCTCTACTCTCACCCTATCTCCATATTTCATCAAAAACTACGTTTTTAATCGGAATTTCTTCAAATATCATCTCCTAAACCTGTTGGAATCATCAAAATCGTGCAAACTTCATCCAATCTCACTCTAATTCGAAATTCTTCAAGGTTATTCTTTCAATTCCGATTACCTTAAATCATGTCTCACAAACTTTCTAGACCTTCCTCTAGTCGTTCTAGCCAACCTCCAAACTCACCTCCATATCCTCCACCTATCCAACAAATTCCTAATCCTAATCCCGATGATCCAAACATGACCATTCGCAATTCTTACATTAATGAACCCGGTCGTCGACAAAATCTCTATTTTAAGTTTTGTCAATACTTTGAGTCTTACAAAATCCGAGAAGAATGAATCCCATCTCTTCAAGCAATGTTAGACATAAAGTTTTGACATCTTCATACCCTTCAAGAGTGGAAATTTGATAAACTCTTCGAGCTTGAACCTATAGTTTACCACCAACTCGTTCGTATCTTCCACTCTAATGCCGTTTGTATTCAAAACCGAGAGAAAACTGCAACCATAGGAATCCATTCCTATCTTCTAGGACGATTCTTCCATCTTGACTCGGAATACATTGCCAACGCATTAGGATTAGATAATGACGGGTTAGAAAATGAAAAACTAAGGGTAGGATCTCAGTATAAACGAAGGGATAGTGCGAGTGTTTTAGATCTTCACGACCGTTTTCTTCACCTTATGATCTCTTGGTGGTTTCGATTATCTGGAGGTCGTTACTCTACTCTTCGAGCCTTAGATCTATTTTGGCTACATTGTGTCCAAAATAATCTCAAAATCAACCTTCCACAGATTATTTTTGCTGAACTTGTCGAAACCGTAAATCTTGTTCCAATAAGAAATTATGTTCTTCTTTAGTTTACGGTTGTATTCTTAGTAATCTGTTTAAAAAGGTTGGGCTTAGAGTTGGTCTTGATGCTTCCTTTCCCCTAAAAACCAAATCAACCTCTTCTCTTTAACCAAATCGGGATGGAAGTTCAATAAAGAGAATGGTCTTTGGGATCGTATTCATGAACAACCTCCGGAAGCCAATGACTCCGACGATGAGTAAAAACAACATGAGGAACAAGCTCCACCAGAGGATCAAATGCCTCCATACTTTCAATCCTTTATGGAGACATTTGATTTCCGGTATGCATCCATGGATTCTCGCTTCACTTCCATAGAGTCTCATTTATCCACAATGGGAGCTCAACAATTGGAGATTCTCTGGGAGATGCGCGCGAACAATGTTTCTATGAATGAACGCATTAATGCACTCTCGCATGAGATGGCCGCTATGCGAGCTAATTTTCCTCCTCCCGATCCTCCTACGGATGCTTGATTATTTGTCATGCTTTAATACTTTGAAATAGGAATTAGAGATTATTGTTTCAACATTTTGAATGACTTTGGATTGTTTTTAATTTTGATTATTGGATGTTTGAATTTGGTTGATGTTTTATGGATGTTTGAACTTATATTTCTATATATTTGGTTTGGTTAAATTTATTCATTATTGCATCATTTACATCATGTTAGAGATATGACCAATTTCGCCATATCACATTGTTTATGAATATTGATTATGAAACTAATGGCTAACGTTTCTCTTGATTGTGATCTTAACAGCTTAAGCTATATTTAAAATCTTTTAAAAGTCTTTTTGATTTAACAAAAAGGGGGAGAAATGTTAAAGTGTTTTAAAGGGGAGAAGTGTTAGAGTAAGGGGGAGTAATTTCAAAACTTGATTTCAAAATCTTAAAATTACCAAAATGTTTTGTTATATCAAAAATGGGGAGATTGTTGAAAACATTTTGATATTTCGATATAACAAATTAAGTTAAATGAATTTTAAGATTTTCCAAAAGATTTTATAAGTATATTCGATATAATTATTCGAATATCAAAATATTACTCTAAATCTTTCAAATGTCATTTTTAATCCTTACTCAAGTGTAAAATTAAGTTTTAATCTTAAAATAATTTTAAAACAATTTTACAAAATATTTCGAACCATTTCAAAGCCAAAAATTCCATATTGCTCAAAGGGAACCGATTCCCCCTCAAGGGGGTACCGATTCCTCCTGAATGGTTTGGCTCCGAGAAAAACAGAATGCTCGGAGGGAACCGATTCCCCCCTGTTTAACGGTCGAAATATTTGAATTTTACACTTAGGGAACCAATTCCCCATGAGGGGGTACCGATTCCCCCCACGCTCCAAGCTGTTTTATTAATTGATTTCACACTAAAACGACTCTATTGACTCCACTAATCATCTCCTAACATTCAGAATCATTTGAAGGTGTATTTAAACAAGCTTAGAAGCCATTGATCAACAATAAGAAACAACAATCAACAAGAATCAAGAGAGAATCAAAGAGAAAGCATCAAACCTCAAGTTTGAGCATTTTCAAGCCTATTTCATTAAATATTCATTTTTGCTTTCAAGAACATTTATTGTGCTCAATTGTATTGTTCTTGAGTGTTCTTTCTTTGTTCTAGAATTGTGCAAACATCTTGCCTTGTGAGGATTTTCTTGTAAGTTTGCAAAATTTGTATTATTCTCTTTGGGAGAGAGTGTTCTCAAGAATTTGGGGTATAATTCTTGAGAGATTTGTAAGGTTACTCTTTGTCCTCAAAAGAAAGACAAATTAGTGAATTTGTGGAAAATCCTTAGTGTGGATAGCTAAGGTAGTGGACGTAGACTTTGGTTGAGAAAGTCGAACCACTCTAAATCGCTGTGCAAATCTTTTCAATTTTCTGCAAAGCTTCCACCGAAATTTTTATTTGCCAATTCACCCTCTCTTGGCCAACTTCATCGATCGATTAACTCAACATAAATTTTTATTCATATATTGCCTTTTAGAATATGAAAATTTATTTTAAGTAATATAATGGTTACTTTTTTTCTTATATTAATATTATTTTCTTCTTATATTAATATTAATGTACCAAACATCTTACCTAAATATAAAAGGTGATAATAATGCACTAATTACACTTTATTGCGCACCATATGTACTAAAATATTATTTCTTAGGTGGTGTTTGTTTTTACTTTGTAAGGTCTGAAAAGCTCTTATGTCTGCGCCGCGCAAACGACGCGCAGACATTGGGCTTCGCATACCGTTTGTTTTTTAGAATACATAAGCTCTTCTAACGTCTGCGCGTGGTCTGCGCGGCGCAGATGTGACTTTATGTCTGCAGACGTCTTCTAACCTCTTCAAAGAGGTTTTATATTTAATTTTATATTATATTTGATTTTAATTTTAATTTTAATTTTTTTAAATAAATTAAATATTAATTTTTAATATTATATTATAGATATTAATTTTAATATTAATTTTTAAATAAATTAAATATTAATTTTTTAATATTATATTAGAGATATTTAATTTTATATCGTATAAATTATTTTATATATTAGTAAAATTTTATATTTATTTTAATTATTTTGATTTAAGTTTAAATATAATATTTTTTTGGATTTGTTATTTTTAAATTATATTTAAACTTTTTATACAAAATGTAAGTATTTAAACCACATTACTTAATAAAAAATGATTTCATCTTTTGATAATTAAGATTTTAAAATATAAAAAATTATAAATTATGTTTTTAAAATTTTAAAATATAATCAAAATTAAATAAAAAATAATCATAAAATAATTTGATAAATTAAAAAATATTTTCTAAAAATATCATATAATTATAAAAATAAATTATGAATATATATTTAAAAAAATTAAAAGTATTACATAATTGCATATTTAAAAAATCATATAATTTAATGATCATTTATAAATTTTATTCTATAAAACTTATAAAACTAATAATACATGTGATTATGTGAGACTTATAATAGAATTAATAAGGTGGTGTTTGTTTTTCTAAATAAATTATTATTGTAGTTGTATGAATTATTTAAATTTCAGTATTGTAAAACTAAAATTATTTAAATCTCAGTATTGCAAAACTCTTTTAAGTTTAAAAAATCAGTTTATTTATATTTCAGTTTATTTTAGCAGTCTACAAACGTTAAAAAATAAACAGTCTTCTTCTTGCAGACTGCAGACTTTTGGTCCACCTCTTATGCTGCAGATGCCTGCAGATGTGGTCCGCAGAGTACATACATTTTACCTATGTAAAAACAAACACCACCTTAGATCAGATCAACCCCTAACAGAATTAAATATATATATGGAACGGGTAAAAGATGAAGAATAATTTGCAATTTTTGGAAAACATGTAAGGGCATTAAATATCAAAATTATATTAATTATCGGTTGCTCGACATAAAATAAGGAATTAATTTTTTCAACAAACGATTAATATTAAGATTTTGATATCATAAATGATTCAAATTAAATATAAAAGATTGTTTTTCATAATAAAATTTTACATTATATATTTTATATTAATCTATCAATGAATTAAATAATATTTTTAAACGATGTGTGACCAAAATATAATCAAAACGTAACGTTAAATATGATTTTGAAAAAATAGTTGGGTGACCAAAACGAACTAAAATGATAATTGGGTAATTAAATACGTGATTTATTGAATTAATCTCTAATATGATGGCGTGGGAAAGGGGAAAAGTCACGACACTAGAGAGAAACAGAAGACCCTCGGCAAGAGGTTGGGGAAAGGCTGCTGCAACGGTGAGAAGAAGGGGAACCGCGGATGATGCAAGACACAGAGAGGAGTTTACGGTGTTTGTCAACAACGTGAGCAAGGGGACCCATCAAGCAACTCTTAGAGACGTGTTCTCAGAATATGGAGAGGTAGTAGATTATTTCATTGCATATAGGAACCAGAAGAGGGTAGGCAAAAACACAACATTTGCTTTTGTCCGATTCAAAAGATGGATGGACGCTGTCCGAGCTGTTGAAAAAGGTGATAAAAGGAAGTTGGACAACTTTATGATTAGAGTTTTCATGGAGATGAATGCTGAGCGTCATCTCAATAATCCATGAGATAAGAAACAGATGGGTACAGCTAGGGGGCAAACGTCTCGTATGTATGGAGAAAACGAGTAAGCTTAAAGGATACCAGATCGTTTAAGGAAGCACTCTTAGGGGAAAAGAGGGTATGCTTTCTCATGGCAGTTCGGAAAAAGTTGAAGAAGTGATGGGGCTTCCTTTTAATCATGAGGCAATGTTCGTTAATACGGTTGATACAATTCCTCGCAGCCAAAGCGCGAATAATGAACCCAAGAAGAAATCTATCTCTATTCTTAATTCAGATTTGGAATGGAGAAGTTTATGTTTAGTTGGCAAGATTAAAAACATGTTTAATGTTGATTTAATCCAAGAAACTCTCTTTTCGGATGGTATTTTTGCCAAAGTGATTCCATGGCATGAACTCCTAGTAGTGGTGCAATTTTCATGCAAAATGGATATGCTTAATTGCTGGAACAGAAGAGAGGAAATGATGCAACAATGGTTTGATGAATTAGAGCTTCTACAGGAGTTCAACGGGAAGAGAAATAATAATTTGTGGGTAGATTTAAGAGACGTTCCTTTGCAAGTTTGGAACGATAATTTCTTCCATGATTTTTTTAGTAACTAGGGTACGATGATAAAGATTGACGAGGATATCAGCAATCGTAATAGATTCGATGTAGCTCGTATTTTGGTGCAATTACAGAAAGCTTCTGTTATACCGGAGAGAGTTGTTGTTATTGTCAATGGGGTCCCCTCTACTATTCTGATCCGAACAAAAAACTTTTGATGGCGACCAAATATTCATAGACGGTTCTTCTCTGTTTGGCAACCAGGGGGAGGATGATATTCCTGGCCAACATGAAAAGTCAATAGAAGGCGTCATGATGGAGGATAATCAAAAGAAGCAGTTTACATCGGAAGACACATGCCATCTTGTGCACGAAGTTGCAGATGAGGGTCAGCATGCAAAGCACGTTGCTAGAGAGACTGAAAATCCTACTCCTAAGGAAATAGACAACTACGTGTTAGATCTATCTATAAATGGATTTGGGCTCCATTATGTTCCTATTTGTTCGGGGAGTAGGCCTTCCAATGAAGATGAGTGGATTACATGTGAAGACTCGTCTGATTCTACAGGAAATAGGCGATGCAGCTTGGGTCCAAAAACCCCAATTGGAACCAGAATACATCATCTTCCTATCGAAGTAATAGTGAACACGAACAAGCTAATTACTGAAACCAGACTTGACGCAGCAGCAATCTCGGTTCTGCGCCAAGAAGCAGCGAATCGTGATGCACCTACGGACGGGTTCAATAACCCAGTGGATCGTGCTGCATTTATCAGTAAAAAAGTAGAAATACGGAGGAAATGAGCGGTGCAAAATAAAAAAAGAATCGAAATGGGTCAAATCAAATGGATATGTGTAAAGCAACGGAGAAGCCTAATCGAAGTTGGAGCCCAGTGGATGATGAAGCCGCTGCAACTTTAGAAATGGGGAAGCGTTGGGAATTAAATTCGATGCGTCTGATGCAGAGGTGCTAAGATGAATCAAGGAGCTTGAGGGTGATACCAGAATTTAAGTGCGATTGTTCCTAAACTGTGTGTGAATTTACTATGAGTTTATGCCTGTTAACATGGAATGTGCGTGGCATGGGGAAAAAAGAAAAAATTCGTGCAATTAGAAATGTCCTATCAGTCAGTAAGGCAAAAGTTGTGTTATTCAGGAATCCAAAATGTCAGTGTTAAATGAGGGGATTTTGAAATGTATTTTAGGTACCTTTCTTGATGAATATGTAATTGTGCTTGCGGAGGGTACTTCAGGTGGGATAATGGTTCTGTGGAACAAAAATTATTTCAGCATTCTGAACGAGACAGTTAATTTCAGATTCATCGGACTGGAAGAAAAGTTGTTACCAAGTAATCTGAACATTGTGTTATTAAATGTGTATGCACCTAATAGGGCTAGAGAAAGAAAATGATTATTTGATCAGTTACATCTTTATCTGGACAGTGTTGGCCTTCCAGCGATCTTGTTGGCGCCCGAGATCTTGCTGAAGTTTCCAACTCTGAGCCAATCAATTTTGCCGAAGAGCTTGTCTGATCATAATCCGGTAGTTCTCAAAGGACCCAAAGAAACTAGGGGTCCCCGTCCATTTAAATGGTTCTCCCATTGGGCTGACGATCAAGGTTACTCAAATATAGTAAAAAATGTGGCTGAAAAGTGCAAAGAGAACCCTTTCGGGGATTTTTTGTGGGAAGTGAAGAAAACATCTAAGGTTTGGGCTTTAGAAGCGAGGGGCAAGGAGACATAATCTACTGCACAAATTGAGGAAAAAATAAAGAATCTAGAACAGTCAGCGTTGAGTGAAAGGGGCAATGATAGTGTCATGAACGAGATTAAAGTGTTAAAAGTGCAGCTCTGGACTAGATACAATCGAGAAGAGTGCGAATGGCTGCAAAAATGGAGGTAAAATGTTTTAAAGAGGGCGACAAAAATTCTAAATTCTTACTTAACTGCAGCGATAAGGGGGAGGAATAACCACATTGCAGCAATCCGAGTGGGTGATGTGGTGTTGTCTGAGCAGAAACATATATTAGAAGCTTTCATGAACCACTTCCGGTTAAGCTTCAATTCAAGCAAGAATTTACCTGTAAAAGAGTTTGGTCTGCAGTTTAAAAAGTTGGTGTGTGGGTCCATAAGAGCTATTGAAGCTCCGTTCGAGGAGGAGGAAGTTTGGGGTACATTGCGATCAGCTGATGGAACTAGGGCTCCAGGACCAGACGGGTTCAATTTTGATTTTTATAAAAAGTATTGGCAACTCCTGAGAGGTAAAATTTTGGATTTTTTTCAATGACTTCTTTGAAGGGAAGATGATGGACAAATCTTTCAACAAGTCATTTATCGCTCTCATACTGAAGAAGCTTAATCTGGAGAAAGTAGAAGAGTTTAGACCAATATCTCTGGTTAGTAGCTTGTACAAATTGGTAGCTCGTGTTCTATAAAAAATGCTAGCTACTTGCAATAATGAAGTTGTTGGGGAGAGCCAATTTGTGTTCACTGCCGATAAACAAATTGCAAATTGCTCTTTGATTGCAAACGAGCTGATTGAAGATCTGGGGAATCGTAAGCGTGAAGCCTTGGTTTTCAAAGCCGATTTTAGTAAAGCTTACGACTAATTGGATTGGGTTTCTTAGAGCTAATCATGTTGTAGACACTCATTTTCTTAAAAGATAGAACTAACGAGAGTTCATCTCCTAAGATGACTCTTCCATCACCATATCTTTTAAAGCAACAACCACACCAACAAACGTGCAACAACCGAGCAAAGAGTCTAGTTGCATTAGGATTCTATTGTTAATAGAATTCTAAAAATAATTAGTTTTTTTCACTATAAATGCATGTAATTTTCTTCATTTGTAACACGGGATTTACATACAAGATACAGAGGAAAGCACGAAAAAATACAAAGGCAAAACTATTATAAACGATTCGAAAAGGAAATAAAAAGTAGCATCTTTTTTACATTGATTCATTCATTTCTCGTATGTGCATGTTATTTTTTTTTAGATTTGATTTGAATAACCCAAAGCGTGGGTTACACCGATGACCAAAAAGGGGTGGGGTTTCGAAGTTTTGAACCTAGATATATTCCCGAGGCATGTTCATTTTTTAAATATTTAATATTCCCCCTAAGTCAATCTTAATCTTTAATTTACTTTGAAATTTACCCTTTAATTTTACTTTTATATTAATTTTGTCCTATATGTATATAGTTTTAATTATACTTTTTTATTTATTTACTATATTCCTTTTTTATTTATATTATATTATTTATATATATATATATATATATATATATATATATATATATATATATATATATATATATATATATATGTATAGATGTATTTTTTCTCCATTTACTATGTATATATATTTTCTTAATAGTATATTTTATACGTTTATATATATATATTTTCTTAATATTCTATTTTTGTTTTTATTTATTTATATATATATATATTATATTTTTACTTTATTTTATTTTTTTATATTATTTTTTTCTTAATATTATGTATATCTTTATTTTTTATTTGTTTTACTTAGTATTATATATTTATTATTTTTATTTGTTTTAGTAAATACTATTTTATATGTACACATTATTTTTATTCCTTTTTAATTTCTTTTACATTTTTTATTTTTTTACTCCATTAATTTTTTCCTTTTATCTGTGTCTTTGTTTTTTTTTAATATTTTTTATTCATTTTGTTTATTTTTATTATTTTTTACGTGTTTGTTATTTTCCATTTTTTCTTGTTTTATTTATTATTCTCACGTTTGCACACTTGCTATCTTAATTTGATTTTATACTCCGCTACGAATCTAACGTTTTTATCTTTTAAGGGTATTCAAATCAATCAATTGTAAGTAATCTGAATCGGATTTGTTAAATTCTAATTTAAATTTTGAATTTTCGCAACTAAGACAACCGGCAAATTAATTTGTACCGAAAGGGAGGTTCAAGGGTACTAATCATTCCTTGACCGTAACCGACTCCCGAACCTAACACATTTCTAGTAGAAACTCAGATTAGGTAAGATGGTGTCCGACCCACCTAAATTTGTTTTAAAATAGTCGGTGGCGACTCCAATCCACATTTTTCATGTCGAAGCCCAATTCCGGGGCCCAACCGAAAGATGGTTACGACAGCTTGGCGACTCCGCTGGGGACAGGTAAGTGAGTCAGGCCGAAATTAATTTTCGATTGTCTTTTTTTAGCGAAAATTACAAGTTTAAATTTTAATTTATTTATTCAATTCCAATTATTTATCTTTGATTATTTTTTTCAAGTAAATAGTTGTACTGACGTTTTTTCAATGATTTCAGATTTTTGAAAAAATTTCCATCTCTAGCTCTATACTCGAGCTCCGAACCCTTTTAAGTGGGGGTGAAAGCGACACCTTCGTGTGAATTTATTCACCGTGCGGGCCTAGCAAGTAGCCTTCGGGATTCATATACCTTATGT